GGGGCGATCGCCCCCCCCATCGCCTCTAGAGAGCCGCCTGAAAGGTAGGCAATTTGCGCCACAAAACCCCTGTATGTAGGCAACCGAGAGTGCATCGCCCCCCCTGTCAGCCGGACCTTAATCCGCCACTGTCCCGATGTCTCCTCTAGAGCCGCCTGAACGTTTAGGCAATTTGTATGGTTCAAGACCCCTGTATGTAGGCGACCCCCTATCCCACTATGCATCGCCACTATCGCCACTATGCACACAGGTTACACCGCGCCTTAGCCTCTCCAGTGTCGTTTCCCAAACGACAGAACTTCGTCACAATGACATCAGTTCGACATCGCCAGCCAAACTGAGTCATCTTCACTGTCAGATTCGACGCCCCCGCGTTACGTTGTTTTGGACAGTCCAGATGACTAAATTTCGACCAGAGACGTCAATTATGATGTCTTTGTGACAAAATTCCGCTCTATTTTGTATCGATGACAACGTTTCGCTCCGCCGAGGCACCAAAGCCCCCCAAACAGATGGACTTCCCCGCACCCGCGTCGCCCCTGTGCGTGAGTGGCCCAAACGCGTTGTGTGGGCCTCGACAATGTTTGTTCTGTTATCGTGTCGACACTGGAGGCAAAACTGATAGCTCATGCGTCGGCGAAACATGACTAGGTACTTCCCTCTGCCTGTCAGCTTTACTGCTTTCTCTGCCTCAGTCAACAGGATTTCCTCAAAATCACGTCAAATGAGGCCGGCCAAAGTCAGGATTGGGTCATTTCAGTGGCCGACTTATTTGTAATAACGATGACAAAATCCTGTGGCTTTAGCTATTTTGCTGTAATTGTGGTGTTTTATGTAGGGTAGGAGCTTCCGGAAGCTATCTCTAGTTTCTCTCTTGAAAAATCAGAACACATTAACTTACCTACTATCTCTATTTTTATCAGTGTAACAAGAACAACAACATTCAAGTAACATAATGACAGAAATGCCCAAAGCTAATTGGGAAATTTGCCACCTTGACTATTTTAGTTAGTTCATTCTCACACAGACTAAGGACTAAGGATAGAGAGTGGGGATATGGACAAAATTACAGTTCCAAGTTTTATACCCTAGTAGCGCCAATGCGCCTTCATCGCACATTAAACGCGCATTACTGAGAGCATTGAATGCGCATATCTAATGCGCATTAAAATGCGCCTCGAATGTAACACATTATCAACGCATATAATGCGCTGTCATAATGCGCATTGAGATAACGCATTTTATGCGCATTTCAAACGCAGATCGAATGTGGAACGTCCACGAGCATTTTAATGCGCACATAATGCACTCTATATGCGCATTTGTGACATAAGAGGCTTTAGGTCAAGTTCGAATTTCTTTCACGATGCCTCTTACAGGTCAGGTTTGTTGAACACGCCAGCCCGTCATTGAAAAATAGGAAAATCCTGTTTTGTCCCACACCTTGTGATGAAGGGTACAAACAGAGTCCAGTAGAGATACCTCTGCGGTAGGTAACTGATCGGTCGTGGCGGATCATCAGCGAGAGCCAATGTTTTGGCGGGAACGCTTTCCGGTCAAAGTTTTCAATAGCAGTTTTTTAATACGCGTTGAAGGCGAGTGCTATGCACTTTTCGAATGCACATTATAGGCACATGTGCACATTGAAGGTGTAATACCATGCGCGTTCATCGTGCGACTTAATTGCGAGTGCTATGCACATTTTAGAATGCGCATTGCGGATGCATGTTCAATGCGCGTTACATAAAGTGAATGTATTGCGCATTAAATGCACATTAAGAATATGCATTTGAGATGCATTATTCATGCGCATACATAATGCGCATTTATTGCGGGTGAAATGCGCCTTCGTGAATGCGCATTAAGGGTGCATGTTCGATGCGCGTTCGTAATACGCATTTATTTCGGGTGAAATGCACCTTCGTGAATGCGCATTGAGGGTGCATTATTAATGCGCATGCATAATGCGCATTTATTGCGGGTGAAATGCGCCTTCGTGAGTGCGCATTGAGGGTGCATTATTAACGCGCGTTCGTAATGCGCATTTATTGCGGGTG